GATATTATTTGTAATGTGCCCAAAGTCGAGCTCGCGCCCGAGATCTCCTGACAAATGACCTCGCAATCGCTCTCTCTCGCCTGAATCGCCCCTGCCATTTGCGAAGGCGCTGCGCCCTCGACGTCCAGGGCTTGCGCTCTCGCACGAGACCTTCTTCACAGCTTTATTCGGGACCCGTGCTCTCGCGAAATTGCATGCCCGCGCCTTGCTGCGCCGATGCGAGACCGCCAGTGGAGCCCCAGCCACGGGCAAAGCACAAGGAAGTATCGAGCGACAGGGTTGCCTTGGTGGGCATGGGGGCTGTCGGCGGCGAGGCACGGAGCAAAGGTAGGAAGTCTCGAGCAGGGCCGCTGTTGTTGCTGGGAGCGGCGCCAATGCTGAAGAGAGTAGGGCGCTAGTCCAGCGTAAAACAAAACGAAGTCTCGAGCGGGAGCGCACGGCGGTTGTTGGCGGCGGGGAATAGCACCGCCTTGAGTAAGAAGCGGGGAAGTCTCAAGCGGGAGCCGTGGTTTTGTCGGGACGGGGGCTGTCGGCGGCGAGGAACAGCACCGTCCTGAGGAAAAAGGGAGGAAGCCTCGAGCAGGAGCGTTGTTTTTGCTGGGAGCGGCGCCAATTGAAAAGAGAGTAGGGCGCCAGTCCAGCGTAAAACGGGAGAAGACTCGGGCGGGAGCGCTGGTTTTGTCGGAACGGGGGCTGCCGGCGGCGAGCAAGAGCACCGCCTTGGGTAAAAAACGGAGGAAGTCTCGAGCGGGAGCGTTGTCGTTGGTGGGGGGCGGCGCCGATGAGAGAAAGAGCAGCGCGCCTGTCCAAAGTAAAACGGGAGGAAGTCTCGAGCGGGAGCGCTGGTTTTGTTGAGACGGCTGCTTTCGGCGGCGAGCAAGAGCACTGGCCCTGAGTAAGAAAGGAGGACGTCTCGAACGGGAGCGTTGGGTTTAGGGTTTAGGGTTTAGGGTTTAGGGTTTAGGGTTTAGGGCCGGAGCCTCCGGTGTCACTCCGCCGGTGGACGGGCGCACACTCCGGCCCCGTGGGTCTGTTGGCCGGAGGAGCTGTGTGATGACGACTTCTCCGGCCCTGCGTGAGGCCATCTGCGGCGGTTTCGCGCCGCTGTGGGCAAACGTACACTCCGGCCCCGTATGTCCGGTCATCTGTGCTGTTCCCTTCACAGGAAACGCTCCCCGTGCGCTACCCCCTTCTCCGGCCCCGTGTGCAGCCAAGACACCCTCAAAAACCCTCACGACGACGACGACGGCGGCGACGACGACGACGACGACGACGACGACGGGGATCCTGAGGAGTCCTCGGGGGCCTTGAGGAGTCCTGAGGTGTCCTTATGAATTTCTGGGGGCCCTGAAGAATTCCAAGATATCCCAAGGAACCCTGAGCAGGCCCGCAAGATCCTGAGCAACCCTGGCGAGATCCTGACTAAAGCTTGGGGAATCCAGCGGATTTCTGTGAGGTCCTGAGGAATCCTGGGCTCTAGGGAGGAATCCTGATGGACCCTGACGAATCCTGACGAATCCTGAGGAGTCCTGATGGGCCCAGAGGAAGCCGAGGGGATCCTGAGGAGTCCCAGTGTGTCCTGAGGATTCTTGTGCAATTCTGAAGAATGCTAAGGGGGCATGAGAAATCCGCAAAGGATCAGGGGTGCCTGGAGGGGATCCTGAGGAATCCTGTGGGATCGTAAGGAGCCTTCAGGCATCGTGGAGAACCTTTGAGGAAGATCCTGAGGCATCAGTGTGGATCCTGAAGAGGAAGCCACAGGACTCTCTGGAAGGGGGGGGGGGGCCCTGGTGAACCCTGAGTAGTTCCTTGGGGATCCTGAGGAATCTTCACGTGTCCTGAGGAGTCCTTGGGGGTCCTGAAGAAGTTTAAGATATCCTGAAGAATCGTGAGCAGCCCCTCGGGATCCTGAGGGGTACTGGGGAGATCCTGAAGAACCCTTGGGGGTCCCACGGGTTCCTGCGGGATGCTGAGGAATCCTGGGAACTTGGGAGGAATCTTGAGGAATCTTGAAGGGTCGAAAAGAATCCGAGCGAATCCTGAGGAGTCCTGATGAGAGCCCAGAGGAAGCTTAGGGGATCCTGAGGAATCCTTGTGGGTCCTAAAGAATCCTGGGGGATCCTGAAGACTGCGAAGGAGTCCTGAGGAATCCTGAGGGGCACCCTTAGGGGATCCTGCGGAATCCTTAGGGTTCCTTCGGGGTCTTCAGGCATCCTGAGGAACTTTGGGTGATCATCAGGAAACATCGTGGATCCTGAGGAGGAATCCATAGGGCTCGTTTGGAGGGGGGGTGCTAAGGAATCCAGAGGTATCCTGAGGGGTACCTTGAGGGGATCTTGAGGAACCATTGGGAAACCTAAGGAATCCGTAGACGTCCTGAGGAGACATGGTGAATCCTGAGGAATCCGGAAGTGTCCTGAAGAATTGTTGGGGATTTTGAAAAATTAAAAGATAGCTTTAATAATCCTGAGGAGCCACACGGAATCCTGAGAATACCATG